TTATGCCCTTATGTTGGATTTGTTGTAAAAATCGTTGAGGCATGCCTTGAGGCATAAGGGCCTAGCATAACTACAAACATCGATAGATACAAAGAAGAAATTTGAGACGAAAAACATCATATGAGACGGAAAGGCAATGATAATCATTTATGAATATAGAACATTTACCTCTATGAATGATAATCATATGATCGGTAAGTTCTACCGATCTGTAGTCAGACGTGCTATGTTATACGGGGCAGAGTGTTGGGCGGTTAAGAAGACTCATGTGCGTCGTCTGCATGCGGCGGAGATGCGGATGTTACGATGGATGTGTGGGAAGACAAGGTTGGATAGGATTTCAAACGAAGTTATCCGACGTCAGGTAGGCATAGCGTCGGTGGAAGATAAGTTGCGGGAAGTGAGGTTGAGATGGTTTGGGCATGTGAGACGGAGGGATGCTGGTGCCCCTGTACGGAGGTGCGAGAGGATCACGGTTATCGGGGGAAGTAGGGGAAGGGGTAGACCTAGGAAGAATTGGAAGGAAGTGATTAGGCAAGATTTAGGACTTCTCACCCTGACTGAGGATATGGCTTTAGATAGGAACCTTTGGAGGACTAGAATTAAAGTAGGCTGGTTAGGAGCTCGGTGCTGCAGAGGTTTTTTGTAGTGTGTTGTGTTTGATTGGAATCTTGTACTTTTGCTTGCTGGACTTTAATTTCATTGTACTTGGTGCTTTATCTTGTTATATCCTGTTATCCTGTTATTTTGTGTTCCCTACCATATTTTTTTGTGCAGGTTGAGCCGGGGGTCTCTTGAAAACAGCCTCCCTACTTCCGAGTAGGGGCAAGGTCTGCATACACACACCCTCCCCAGACCCTACTATAGTGGGATTCAACTGGGTTGTTGTTGTTGTTGTTGTTGTACCTCTATAAATGGCAATGTGTGCATTAATATCATTGAACAGCAAAGGATCCACAAGCAGAGACAAGACAAGTGGATCAAGTGAGTCAGTAGGTGCTGTGCTTGACTGATGACAACATTGATAGACCCCGAGAAAACATATTTGTTCAGCTGTCAGAGATTGTAGCAGTGTGACTTGAGGTTAATTGCTGTGCTCATGAGTGATCTAAATATGAGGTGGACAGTAATCACAATATGCTACTCGAGGGAGAGGTAAGACGTTGAAAATAGTTGTGTGATCTGATGGAGTGAGCTGAAAATACTTGAGTACTTGACTGACTCAAGGAATGTGACACTCAAAGAAATGAGGTGATGTTTGACATCGGCATTAGCTGTGGTGCCCTTTCTATATACATGAGTATCCTAATAATATGTATTTGAGAGGCTGGAGCATTAGTTTTGAATGAGAACTACTTGTCTGACTCATAAACTAAGCAAATTCATTCTAAAATAAGAAGTAATTCATGCTGAGGATAAAGCACTGAGTATGGGGCAGCAATGTTCATAACATATAAGATACAGCATGAATTTTATCAAAAAGTGTTTTTGTGAGAATGACATCCTCCATAACAAAATGACACGGAGCACATGTATAGATTAAATGGGTACAAATGGTTAATGCCATGTATCCATTTTTACGCTCTGCTACCTCATTTGTAATGGAAGTTTGATATAAGAGGACTTGTGTGAAACATCCCTAGTTCATATATGCTTAGAGGGTGGATAAAAATATTTGAACCATTGTCACTACGTGAGAACACTAAATTTGGCAATTTGTACTTGAATTCAGCAGTATAATTTTGAAAAAAGTAACTCAAATTTTATTTCATCATTAAGACCCATGAGAGTATGTGGCACGAGATTGTCTCCAAATATCTGTATGGAATTCAGAGTTACGAATTATGAGAGGAAGTAACCAGCAGGCTTATTCACATTCTATAGTTGTGATATGACCCAACTTGTGGGAGTCGAGTAGGTAGGTGGTTGTTGTATGGTTGTAATGTGCGACAAAAACAGGAATTTTGGAGCATTTGGGGGGATGAAATTGGTTGTTCAACAGTGATGGGGAGTCTGATTGTTGGCTAAGCTAACAAAATCCTTATGGCACACACACGACAAGGATTAATTTGCTGGCAGAAATGAGATAAAAGACTAACTGATATGCACAACACATATTGTGGAGGTAAGCTAAATTTCGTTAGGGCAAGACCAATTCCAGTAAAGATTGTTTCAGATTTATTTTAAAGGCTGTGAGTTAGAGGAGATATTGTTTTAGATATTGTAGAGAACTAGGAATGAAGAGGAGTTAAAAGAAATGTGATTGGAAGCTCCCAAATCAAAGATCACAATTAATTACAATCTTTTGAGGTACAAGTTGTACATAAACTCATAAAGTGCTAGTATTAATTATAGTTAAGGAGGTACAAAAGGAGTGTTTCAGTTTTTTTTGGTTATTAATTACCTTTCTTATCCATCTCTTAGAATTTGACTATTCTAAATTTCTAACATATTTATATGTTTTCTTGAGCTGATGACCTTCCAAAAACAACCTCTCTAGTCTCTACCTTTGCAAGTAGGTTCAGGTCTACATACACCCACCCATCTCAAACCCCACTTGTGGGATCATCATGTGATGTAACTGAAGTGGAAATGGTTTTCCTATTTCTTAGATATAATTGCACAATTGCACCAAAGCCCTCACTGCCAGAAAGTGTGTGAGGGAAACACACACACACACACACATTTTGGGTTTGGCTCAAGCCTCAAAGGAAACACCTTACATGAAAAATGAGAATGCATCATAGTGATATATTTATAGTTATTTACCCCTAGTAAGTCAAATGATGCGCTAACGCATGATATCATCATAGTGATGTAATAAAGCCGGTGCTAAGCTGAAACCAATATTATATTAAGATGTTACTCCGTATTATTCTAAATAACTCTAGACACCTAATCTTAACAAGAGTTCATACCAAGAAGTCATGTGGTGGATGTTGGCAACAACAAATACAGGTTTTACATGAAACTACACTGGCATATTTCAAACTTATAGCACCCGCTGCTTGAAGCTGCCATGATAGGTTCTAGATGAAATGAAATGAATGCATTAGAAAAGCAATCTGTAAATCAATGAAATATCAATCCATATTCCACCTTAATTCCATCAAATCTACCCCTTTAGACGCTTAATTGATGGAGAAGTGTTATTATATACACCTCCACAGAAAAACAAATTTTCATTTAAATTTCAACCCCTCTCAAATTGCACATATAAAAACAAACGAGGTTCCAACCAAAGATCCGTTGCAAGATCAAGGTGTATCAAATTATTCAAACATAATGGTCACATTCATATCATCATTATTTTGACCACGATCCTTCAACTTAATACTTAACTTTGTGTTCCCTCAAAAAAATTAACTTTGTCTTTATTAATTAGTTAAACATTAAATTCCAAACAAAGCTGGTTTAGGTTTCGTATTCTTATTCAACTTTTCCACCGGGAATTACAGATCAGTAACCCCATGTGGATAAGACAACTATATGGCACAGCATATACAAACACAATATCACGCATCAAATCAGTCCTTAAGCAATAGTGAAAACAAAAACCATCACATTCTTCATGACCCACGAAACACCAATTTAAAAAAAATGAAGTGGAGAACGAAATGAAATAAATACTCCGTAAAGAGTTAATAAAGCTCAAACCTTTCATAGAGGGTTTAGGACAAATCAGGCCATCATTCACGAGAGAGATATTGGATGGCATGGGAGCATTCCTTAAACCTACTCCGAATTGGGTACCCACAAGCCCGACCATAGCACTAGTCTGGGTCGAATCACCGGCGGTCTCGATTGCAGTCTTCAGATCCGAACTAGGATACCCGGCAAAAACAGTTCCGTTCCCGACGGCGGCCGGAAGCGAAGTCCCGTCGTCGAGCACGGCGTTAGAGGCAGAGACGAGGTATTCATCGTGCTGGAACCCGACGAAAACCCGCCAGGACTTGAGCTCATCGGGGCCGTTGTTGATGATACTTAGAGTGGACTCAAAACGGTACGGTTGGTGGGCCTTGAGTGTGGGCTTGAGAATGGACCCTGAAGTGAACACGTACTGCCAGAAGATGCCGTTACAATCGTCGGCCGGAGTCGGAGATTCCTGAGCGTGGGCGCTATGTAATTCAAAGCTGAGAAGGAGAAGAAGGGAGATAGATATGAATGACATTTTCGCTTGAATCTATTTGGACACATTCAAAATGAGTGAGAAAACTACGGACTATTTAAATGGACTAGTGTCTGGCATGGTGTGCTGTACAGTCTGTAAAACTATTTTTAAAAATACAGCCCCCCCTATATTTCGATAAAATATGACACGGTACTGGTCCCGTTTTGGGTTAAGCTCTCTAATTGTGTTAAAGTAAGAGTAAAATATTAAAAATACTAGTATTTAACCCGTGCAACGCACGGGGTGAAATGATTTATTTTTTTACTCACTTAATTTTTTCTTCTTAGTTAATGACAATAAATAAAGTAAATTATAATATTGAATTGTAGAATTTAATGGGCGATATACCATAAATATGTGATATCCAAAATTTATGTATATACAAATTAAAACAAAAAGAACATGTAAAAGTATAATTTTAAATCCAAATCTTTTGAAAAACTTGAGGGATACAATATTTTTTGTTTTATTGCAAGGGTAACCGCTATCATCTAAAACAAACACTTTCAATCTTGTCTTTGTTTTCACTCTTGAAACTGCAACATAAAGTTGTTTGTGAGTAATGTGAGCAAATATTGATTTGATAAAAATAATCCAACAAATGACAATATTTGGCTTTAATTCTTATTGATAGTCATGGTAAAATATAAAGATATTGGAAATTGTCTTCTTTGAAACCTCAATGGTAATCCAGGATCACACGGTACCAAATTAATCCAAGGTATGTAAACTTTCTCCTCGATATTATTTCCTGATACAACAATTGCACCAATAATATTTCTTCGCAACTTTTCAACGATTAACCGTGTACCATTATACGTAGTGATGGGGAATAACCCCACACCGGCCTAGGGCTGACATCAACGTAAATTTCCAAATGCCCGCCAAACTTCCTGCCCGGCTCTGCGCTCCGCTCGTCATTCCTGCCCGGCTCTGCGCTCCGCTCGTCATTCCTGCCCGGCTCTGCGCTCTGCTCGTCCTCCCTGCTCGGCCGACCAAGCCGAGCCCGAGCCCCACGACAATGACATGCGGAAAGTGACGTTCAACGGAGACTTGAGGAAAGCGATAGGATGAAAGGGACAAGACGGGCGGAAAACGACGTTCAACGAAGACTTGGTGAAAGCGATAGGATGAAAGGGACAAGACCTAAGGACAGGTGACGTCCGCTAAACGACGGGCCTCGATCAGAGGGCTTTGA